ATTATCAAATGAACAATATGTAATGCAATCATTAAATAATACACAAATATCATTTCCATCTCCTCGCACTTGTATTCCTCATGAGTTTGTGTATCAAGTAATGAAACATCCACAAAAGCTAGCTGTTGAATTAGATGAACAATCATTGTCATATTGTGAGCTCTTGTATTATGTCCAAGTCTTATCTTTAACTCTTCTAAATGAATATCATGTCGTTCCAGGTGAGGTTGTGTGTCAGTGTGTTGAGCGAAGTTTGTCAATGGTAAGTTGATTAAGATGAGTAACATTTAATGTAAGTTTGAAATTGATTGTGACTAGGTGATTGGTATTATGGCGATTGAAATGTCTGGTGGTATTTATTGTCCATTATCACCTCGAGATCCACAACGTCGTTTAAATGCACTTACTCAACAAACTCAAAGTTGTCTTGTTCTTGTTCAGCATTCTACAACGTTGACGTTTTCAAGTGAAATCGTTTCATGTAACATAGATTTAATATGGACTATTGGCCTCAGTAACAGGTCTATAATTATCGATCGTCTTTCGGATATTGTAGGAACGGTAGACAGTATTGCATATGTTGTTTTTACTAGTGGTTCAACAGGAACATCGAAAGGAGTAGGTTGAACTCTTGTCTAAATAATAGTTTTATTTGAGTTTCGCCTTTTAGGTCCAAATTCGTCATCGAAATTTGCTGTCTTGCATTCATTCTCTTGTTCGATGGCATTTATTCACAAATGAGGATACTATGATACAAATGGCAAGTTGTTCATATGATGTGCATACTCAAGAAATCATCGGAGCTTTAATCACTGGTTCAACGATTATCATGCTTGGTCCTCAAGGAAATATGGATTTAGAATATATGACGAAGACGTTGACTGAAAAACAGGTATCATATTTACAGTGCGTACCAGCATATGTCAATACTTTGTTAAAATTTCTACAAAGTCACAGCATTCCAAATTTGAGTAGTTTGCGTAATGTTGATACTGGTGGTACGTCTCGCATTTTATTTATTAAATACTTATTCTTGAAACTTTCTAGGAGAAATAAGTACAGTTCAACTTATTGATAAGTTGTATACATATCTACCACAAGATTGTTCTGTATGGAACATCTATGGACCTGCAGAAACAACTGTCGATTGCACAGGTTATGTCATAGGCAGAAATCAAAATATGATCAGCATTCCAATTGGACGTCCACTGGCCAACTATCGATGTATAACTATGAATGAATATATACAATCATCTGTTATCGGTCAAGAAGGAGAAATGTTTGTGGGTGGAGTAGGTGTCTTTGCTGGTTATCTTGGACGTGACGACTTAACTGCAAAAGCTCTTCTTGAAATAGATGGTCAACTATTTTATCGAACAGGTGATCTTGTTAGAATGGATAGCAATGGTCTTCTTCATTATCAAGGAAGAAAAGATCATCAAATCAAACTTCATGGACAACGAATCGAACTTGGAGAAATCGAACGATGTTTACTTAATATTACATCCATCTCTGCTTGTGTTGTCATGAAATGGAATGATGATTATTTAGTTGCTTATGTTCAATCTTCTTCTCATATGAATGAAGAACAACTACGTGAACATTGTCAATCTCACCTTCCACCACATATGATTCCATCTTTCTTTATTATACTAAATAAATTACCTCTGAATCCAAATGGTAAAATAGATCGAAAACAACTTCCTTCACTTCACTTCTCATCTATGCATCTCACAAACAGTACAGAATTGTTACTACCAACAAATGATACTGAAGTTAGTATTCATCAGATTTGGTGTGAGATGTTCAAACAAAATCAGATCTCAACTGATACAAATATCTTTACTATTGGTGGTCATTCACTACTTATCATGCAACTATTTCATCGATACAAGACCGAGTTTCATTTAGAAACAAATACTCTTTCTATTTCTAATCTATTTCAACATCCAACAATTATTCATCATGCTCAATTCATTCAGCAATCTATCAATATTATCCACACTCTGGAGAACATTCCTTGGCCTTCATTACATATCATGAAAGGTAAACAAAACAATTTGTACTAGATATTATCATCAACTACATTTTTATCTTGTTTTTCTTATTTCAGCTAGACCATCATTTGCACAAGAACGTATTTTCTTAGATGAACAAATTCGATTTTCATCAACAAATAATAATACTAACATATATGTTATTCCATTAATTTATCGGTTTTCATCTATGAATGATCATATATCTATTTCACGATTACAACATGCATTTCAATCTATCATAAGAAAACATCAAATTTTTCGAATAGCACTCTATTTTGATACAAATGGTACTATTGTTCAACATTGTTTAGATCCAAATGCTATTATCAATGATAAGAAATCATCTAGATTTTCGATGATTACTCTTCCTGATGAAAAACATGAACAGAATGAAATTGTAAAGAAGATTTTAAATCAATCAGATTTATTTGATTTATCAATGGGACATGTTATTAATTGCCATATTCTTCGTCGTGGTCAATCAAATCATTCACTCACTCAGAGTAGTGATGATCTAATGACCAAAGATGATTTAATATTATTTACTATTCATCATGCCTGTTTTGATGGAGCATCAGTATCAATCTTCCTTCGTGATCTTTCTCTTGCTTATCAATCAAATGACTTGCTCCCTATAGATGATAATTCATTACAATATATTGACTATTCTATTCATGAACACATAATGAATATAACATCGTCTCAAGAATTTTGGCAATTAGAACTCAAAGGATATAATCTCACAGGCCAATTATCATTACCTGTTGATCGACAACGTTTATTAACTGATCAACGATCAGGTTTAGCTTCTACAGCTCAAATCACTTTTGATGATGAAATATGTAGATCATTTCTCAAATATGCATCATCACATCATCTTACACTTTTTCAACTTGGTTTATCCATATTTTATGTCTTCCTATTCAAACTAACTCATGGTGAGAGTGATTTATGTATTTCTTCGATTAATGCTAATCGATATCGAAGTGAATTAGTGAACATGATAGGAATGTTTGTTTCAACATTACCATATCGTGTTGAACTTGATTCTCAATGGTCATTTGATGAAGTAGTTGAATATGTCCAAGAAAAATGCTTATCAATTCTTGAACATTCTCATTATCCACTTCAACATATTCTTGGTGATTTACATCTCACTCAATCGGATGCATCATTTCTTGAAGTAGTGTTTGATTTTATCACTATATCAAAAGAAGTTAATGATTTATCTTTGAATGGTGTCAATTTAGAACAAGTGTCGTTAAATGGATCATATGAAATGACTAAATTTGACTTTTCATTAACATTTGTATACAATTCATCATCAGATGATAATCAACTCTGCTGTTCTTTTGTTTGTTCAAGTGATTTATATGATAAGAAGACACTTGCCGTAATAAGTCGAAGATTTCAGCATGTCTTCGAACAACTCTTTTCAATGAATTCTAATATTAATCAAACTGATTTCAATGTTTCACCTATTATGAAACTTAGTCTTATTTTGCCAGAGGAAGTTCATGAAATGGAACAAATAGTTTTTTGTCGGCAATCAGATATTACGAATGAAGGTATATATATCTTGGATGGATTTGAGAAAACTATATAGACAATGATAGAGATACACATACACAGAATATTTTATAAATAATTTTCGAATAGTTTTTTCATATCTTTTCTATTTAGTTTAACTTTCTTAACAGATTTGTCATTTAAATTAAAGATAAATATACCGAGTTCCAATGTATTCAGGCGATCTTATATACTGAACTACAAAACTATCATTTTAAAATCTTTTCTGCTCGTGTTTCCCATTAATTACCTCAGTCTCCTGTAGCAGTCTTCTGTTAACTTTGTATCACAGAAAAACTGTAAAACTTGTTTCATATAGATATTCCTGTTGAACTTAATGAAATATATCCTTTCATATGAAAATCTCAAGGAAAAAGCTTCGTTGACTTTTTAGTTACTTGCGCTTCATCACACCAACTAAAGTTTTATATAATATTCAAAAAAATGGGAGCTCGTTATAATCAGTTTCAATTTAAAACAAAATATTTGTTGAGGAAGTTCAACGAAATAACAAATATATGAGAAAAAAACTCTTAGTAGACTATTTCCGAGACGTACCGTATATCATAAATATTTCATCAACATTCTTTTATATCACTTAACGAGCAAACACAACGAACTTAAGAACTCAATATAGAACAAAGTTAAGATTAAATTTTATTGTTGTTATTATTTATTATTTTTATATAGCACCAGCATCATTTGCACAAGCTCGTATTTGGCTTGATGAAAGAATTCGATTCGATCCAGACAAACCTCAAATAGCAATCTATAATATGCCTTTTGTTTATCGTCTCCAAGCAAGTAATACTTTATCTATTAAACAACTTCGTCATGCTCTTCATCTTACTTTTAACAAACATCCTTCACTTCATACATCACTTATCTTTGATGCACAGATGAATCAACTCACGCAACGAGTTATTACACGAAAAGATAACTATACTGATATGCTTTCGATCATCGAAACTATTTATAAAACAGATAAGCAACTCAATGAAATTTTACACGATGAGAAACGTAATCCTCATCTTTTTGATCTTACTCAAGGTCTTGTCTTTCGATGTCATATTATTTATTACAAACAAATCTCTTCAAATCATCATCTTTCTGACCAAGGTCTACTTATTTTCAACTTTCATCATGCTTTATTTGATGCTCCATCGATGGAAGTGTTTCTTTATGACCTCAATCAAGCATACGCAACAGGTCAATTACTATATGACGACAACAGCAATCTTCGTTATCTCGATTGTAAATAGAAAGAGTTCTTATCTTTTACCTAATACATTATTTTGTTTACTTATGTAGATGCTGTTATTGAACAACAAATGTCAATGACTGGCGCAAGTATGTTTTGGCTGGATGCTCTTCATGATTGTAAACTTGATCAGCCTTTGTCATTACCATTTGATCAATATCGTCTCTCAAATGAACATCGAACTGGTCGTGGAACATCTATTTCATTTGATTTTGATCAAGATCTATCACGTGACTTTCTTACCCATGCATCATCAAACAACATATCACTTGAACATCTCACATTTGCTATTTATTTCATCTTTCTATTTAAACTAACTAATGGACAAACAGATCTATGTCTGGCTATGAACATCAATAATAATCGATATAGAGATGAACTCAAATCAATCACTGGATTATTTGAGAATGTTATTCCATTACGATGTCAATTAGATCCTCATTGGTCTTTTCATCAACTACTTGAGCATGTTCGAGAGATAACAACAAATAGTATGAATTATTCATATTTTCCACTTCAACATATTCTCAATCAACATCCACATATTTCAAAGCATGCATTTTTGAACATATCTCTAGAATTTATATCATACAAGAGTAACAATGCCATGATGATTGGTGATTCTCAACTTGTTCCAACATCTTTTTCATTCAATGATAATGAAGATGACATACTAACTGTATGCGACTTCTCTCTTTCATTTCATCATAATATGAACATGAATCAACTGTCATGTACAATCAATGCATCACTTGACTTGTTCAATAGAGACACAGTGGAGAAGATTTCACAACGATTTCATTCCATGTTACATCAATTATCTGCATCTATGATTGACAGCCAAATAAACAACCCAATCTATGAACTATCATCAATATTGTCAAATGAACAGTATCTAATGCAATCATTGAATAATACACAAATACCATTTTCATCTTCTCTCACTTGTATTCATCATGAGTTTGTATATCAAGTAATGAAACATCCACAAAAGCTAGCTGTTGAACTTGATGAACAATCATTGACATATTGTGAACTCTTACATTATGTACAAACATTATCCTTAACTCTTCTTAATGAATATCATGTGTTACCAGGTGAGGTCGTGTGTCAATGTGTCGAGCGAAGTTTGTCAATGGTAAGTTCGTTAAGATGAATAACTATTGATATGAATATGAGATTGATTTTTGATTAGGTGATTGGTATTATGGGAATTGAAATGGCTGGTGGTGTATATTGTCCATTGTCACCTCGAGATCCACAACATCGTTTGCAAGCACTTGTTCAACAGACACAAAGTCGTCTTGTTCTTGTTCATCATTTAACTGAAACCAAATTCGATCATGATATTATTTCACTTGATATTGATTCAATACTAATTAATAATGATCGGAATAGTGATATGGATTATAATTGTCTTTCAAGTGCGATAGTGCAAGGTGAAGAGATGGCCTACATTATTTTCACTAGTGGTTCAACTGGAACACCCAAAGCGGTTTGTTAACACTTCGTTTTTCTAATCTGTGATTGATTTTCATGGTCTTTCATAGGTTCAAGTTCGACATAAGAACTTTGTTGATTGTATACATTCTTTAGTTTATATTAACTCATTTAATAAAGATGATACAGTTGTACAAATGACACGATGTTCATTTGATATTCATGTTCAAGAAATACTTGGTACATTGTTGGTTGGAGGCACACTAGTTATGCTTCATCCAAGTGGAGCTATCGATTTTGATTATTTATCCACAGTGTTACAGAACAAACAAATCACATATCTACACACTGTTCCAAGTTTATTGCACAGTTTTTTTTCTTCTGTTCAGCAAAGTAACAATCCAAATGTGTTGACACATCTTCGATCACTTTGCAGCAGTGGTGAGTGACTTCCGAACTAATTTCGTTTGCTTATCTAGGGCATGCTTATTGTTGTAGGTGAACCTTTTTCTGGTCCTTTAATCGGTTTGATTGTGAACATTAGTATAACAAACTGTATTGTGTGGAATTTATACGGTCCAGCTGAAACAACCATAGATTGTACAGTCTGCCATCTGAATGTTACAAATAATATACAAAGCATTCCGATTGGTAGACCACTTTCTAATTATCAATATATGATTATGAATGAATATTCACAACAATCAATCGCAAATCAAGAAGGTGAACTGTGTGTAGGAGGAGCTGGCGTCTTTGCTGGTTACCTTGGTCGTGATGATTTAACTGCAAGAGCTCTTGTTGAAATAGATGGTCAATTATTTTATCGATCAGGTGATCTTGTGAGAATGGATAACAATGGTCTTCTTCATTTTCAAGGAAGAAAAGATCATCAAATCAAACTTCATGGACAACGAATTGAACTTGGTGAAATAGAACAATGTTTACTTCAAACATCGATTTCAGCCTGTGTTGTCATTAAATGGAGTGATGATCATTTAGTTGCTTATGTTCAGAGTTCTCATATTGATGAAAGCGAATTACGACAACATTGTCAATCACATTTACCACCTCATATGACTCCATCTTTCTTTGTTATACTTGACAAATTACCATTAAATGTAAATGGAAAAATAGATCGAAAACTTCTTCCTCCACCTGACTCTTTATCGATAGTTACCGATTATGGTAATGTACCAAGTACTACTCTTGAACAACAACTGCAACAGATTTTCAGTCAAGCTTTCCATATTGAATCTCCGCCTATTGACGTTTCTTTTGGTCAGCTCGGTGGAACATCGCTAGATGCTATACGCGCACTTACACTAATGCGACAACAGGTGTATACTAATATTGATATTGGTCTTCTATTTACTAATCCATCTATTCGACAATTGGCCATAGCAATAGAACCTTTGTTGATTTCAAATCAATCACAGGAGTCTGCTATTGTAGTTAATGAAAGTCATGAAACTAATGTTCGTCTTTCACCCTCGATGATCATTGAATCACTAGGTATTATACTTTTGATTTGTCAGTGGTTATGGCCAATTGTAATTCTTGTCCGATGGTGCCCATTTCTTTTTCCATTCTTACCAGCATCTCATCTTATATTCTATGCCATTTGTTCACGTCTCTTTTCACTACAAAATAACAAAACTGACATTGTCTTCTCGTGGAACTATTATCGATGGTGGTTTTTAGATCGATTGTGGTTTAATAATACATTTTGGTTACAACATATACTTGGCACACCATTCTATAATTATTATCTTCGTCTTTGTGGTGCTCGTGTTAGTATCAAGGCACATATTTATACTACAGCCATAGATGCCCCATGGCTGATAGAAATTGATGATGGAACTTGGATCGCTGATCAAACATCCTTGAATTGTTTTCATTTTAATGATGACAACACTTTTGAACTATATTCAATTAAGATCGGTTCTTATTGTTCAATCGGTACACGCTCGATTCTGTTTGATGGAGTTGATATGAAAGATAATATTATTGTTCAACCAATGTCATCAATCACTGGTTTTGTTGCATCTCAAACGATTATCGACGCTGACGACGACAAATCTTCTACAAATACACTCATGACATACAATAAGCGATCATTATCAATATGGCATAAGATCTTTCAAGTTATTGTACTTTGCTTACTGATCTATATACATTCTATACTTCTGATCATCATTTACAAAGTTTATTCAATTGTACAAGTACCATTACCTATTTGTATTGCTTTTTGTTGGACATTATGGTCAATTCTTGGTTGTTTTATTTCTGTTCTTCTTTTGAAATTTATAGTTGGTTCTTGTGCTGCTGGTGAGACATATCCAATTGCATCATGGTCATATCTACATAAATTATGGCTTCGTCAATTAGTTGTATCTAGTTTTCATTATGCATGGTTACTACCAAATAGTTACGATCATGTTTATCCTATTGTAGTTCGTTGGTTAGGTGCTCAAATTGAAGATAATGTTAAAATCGGTGAAATAGATACATTCTTGTCTTATCCAACAAATTTATTACATTTTGAAACAGGAGTTACTACTTTTGGTTCAGTATTATTAGTTCCAACTGAGTTGACACTTTCAGGTGATCATTGTGTAGATCACATAACACTTGGATCTTATACAAATCTTGCGAATGGATGTTCAGTTTTACCGGGTAGTCATCTTGCGTCTGAGATAATGATTGGTAATTTAACACGTGTTTCTCGCGAGACAAATAGTAACACAGGCGATGTTTTTATTGGTGTTCCAGCTTGTGTCATGCCATTCAAAATGCCTTTGAGATCATCATCAACAATAACAACAGCAGATGAAATGAAAATTATTCCTATTTGGCATACATGTTTTACTCATTTCATTAGTAAATCTCTTCTCTTAACCATCTATTCATTAACTGGTGTCATTAGTATGTTAATCATTCATACAATACTTATTTGTATTACTTATCGATATCGCTCATACATACGCTATCCACTAGTACAACAGATAATATCAAGACTAAGACAAGATCATCAACAATTCATTTGTCCATTTCTTGGCAATACACAATGGTTAATTCATTTATTTCGTGTACTTGGTGCACACATTGGTGAAGGTGTAATCATACCTGATTTTTCTTGTCTCACTGATTATTATTTAGTAATGATTGAAGATGATGTTCGACTTAATATGCATGCTAATATTCAGGTAAATTATAACTATATTTTCTTATACTCTTTTATAAAGAATATTTATCTTTAAATTGTTTTAGTGTCATAGTTTTGAACAACGTATCCTAAAATTAGCTCCTGTGACGATCAGAAAGTCATGTGTGCTTATGAGTGGTTCATTTGTGATGGCAGGCTGCAAATTGATGGGCAACAATAGACTTTATCCATTTACATTGATAATGAAAAATGATCTGTTACTACCAAATACTCAATGGAAAGGACTCCCTGCAAGTAAGCTATTTACATAAATAAAATCATACTTCTCACTAGTGATACATAATAAATCATCGTATTTTCTATTGTACACTTTGATTTCTGAATACGTTTCATGAAAAAACAAAATACATCGCAAGATACACCATAAGAAGTCTATTGAATTGCATTTTTCTGAATCCATTTTAGTTCCAATGAGGTTTCATTCGAATAGCATTTGGTCTACTTGATCAAGTGCAGATCGTAGGTTAAAATGTAGTTTTCGTACAGTTAGAGACGTTACGTTAAAGTTCACACTTCCATAAATTTCATGTGACATTAGACTACGCTAAATCATCTCTTACAAAATTAGATCGAGTTCAGTTTGGTTCACAGTAGTTCATTTTCAGTCTCTTATTTATTATGAGCCATCCACTATAATACTTGCGAGATGCTATTTAATATTCAGCAAATGTAACTTTGTTTATTATGACTATTCACTATTCATTCAGTTCTACTATTAATGAAACGATTCATTTTGACTCTTTGTTTTTTATATTATATACGATTACGTAATTTATTGTTCTTAAAAAGCTAAAACAACAAGTTCAATTAAAAAAGAATGAACTAAATGTACCATACTAGAATTTCGTTGCTGATAATTCACTCGGAAAATTCTCTGACTGATATTGTGTACCATTCAGACGCGATTATATTCTGAACTTCTAGATCGATCATTGTACATGATAAATTATACTTATAGCTTACTTAAAGTTAGATTAATTGCTTGTAATCATTGTATATCAATGAATTCATTCTTTCATTATACTAAGTTTATTTTTTGTAGAACTTTTGACAACAAAAGCAACATCATCTCAATCTTTATCGGTTCGTGATAATAAAGCTGAACAACAACAATCATCTGAAAACGTGGATAGTTTGTCTTTCTGGTATGAGTGGATTGCAAATACCTATTCGAACGTTGATGAACTACAATTCATGAATTATGGCTATGCAGATTTTGATGAGCACAATAACGATAATACCGACTACTGTTCGAAACAGCTATATAAACAGGTAAATGATCAAAAATGAACAATACAGAGTTCAGTGTTTTCTTTGTACATTGGACGTACAATAAATAGAATTTCCTTTTATTGGATGTGCGATCAACAGAATATCTATATCTTCAAAATGTAGTAATTATGACTAAAATGTTCTGCTCTTCGATATAGGTCCTTGCACACGTATCACTTACAAATCAGAATGTACTTGAAGTGAGTTGCGGTAGAGGTGCTGGTGCTGTTTGGTGCGTCCATAATTATGTACCTGGTTCTTATGTGGGAGCTGATCTTTCATCCGGTGTCATTGATGTATGTCGACAACGCCATTCGATGATTTCTCGACTTTCCTTCGTAGTAGCTGATGCAACAAAATATTTACCATTTGAAAATGAGTCCCTTGATATTGTCCTTTGTGTTGAAGCAACACATGCTTATGGTGGACCAGCAGCAGTACAACGATTCGCTAGTGAAGTTACCCGTGTACTTCGTCCAAATGGATATTTTCTTTGGTGTGACTTATTGCACATAGATGGATCAGATACATCCATTGATTATTTAACAGCAAATGGTGAATTGATTGTTGAAAAAAAGATCAATATTACAAAAAATGTTCTCCATGCACTTGACATTCAAAGCAACACTCGTGCTGAATTTATTAAACGTTATGTTCGACCAAAAGAACAGGAATATTTTCGTTTGTTTGCTGGATTACCTGGTACTCACATGTACAATGGCATGTACGAAGGAAGTATTCAGTATTGGCGAGCTGTATTTCGAAAGAAAACAACAACAGATATGAGCACCATCTGAAATCAAATTTAGACTTGATATTACGAACATTTTCTCTTTTTTCAAACTAACCTTACTTACTCTATCGTTTTACATTTCTTGAATTTATACTGATGTTTTATTTTTATTTCGTAGCAAATCTAATGTAGAAACTAATTGTTTTTCGAAATTCCATATTGAGGGTGTGGGTGTCTAGCATCTCATAACCCACCCACATCCACACCCAACAATATTATAATCATAAAAAGAACTTATAACCTATTTCACATTCTAGATTATTATCATAGGTACTTGGACACTCATCCGACTATTTGACAATTCTACGTAATTTTTAAATTTTTAAGACTTTTTATGCTTGTCCACTACTAATCAAACATTACCTATAGCATGAAAAATATTAATCACATTAGAAATTCATCCATAAATTTTCTCTAATTTACAAAAGACAATAGAAGTCCAATGTGAACAGATTTATAGATTATATTTGTTCTATCAAATAGTAAAAATAATTCTAATATTTTCTAATAAAAAACAAAACAAAATTCGTAATCTCATTAAATTATAGTCATATTTGTATAGATCTAATACTATTTTCAATTAAAAATTAAATTAATCTTAGATTTTATTTTATATAATAATATTTATTCTAGATATAAAACTTTATTATATTAATCCAGAAAAAGAATATTTAAACAAGAATAATAATGTCAACTACAAATAATAATAATAATAATACATCATTAGAACCAATCGCTTTAATAGGTATATCATGTGAATTTGCAGGTGATATTCATTCACCAAATGATTTATGGCATGCACTAAAAGAAAGTCGTGATGTTGGTAGTGCAACACCAATTGATCGATTTGATCTTGAATCATATCTTGGTCATATGCTTAATATGGATAATAATGGACAATTTCGTCAAAAACTTCTTCGTGCTGGTTATTTTATGTCAAATCATCAATGGGATATGTTTGAAGCAAGTTTTTTTGATTTATCAGATGCTGAAGCAGGCAGTGTCGATCCATGTCATCGATTACTTATGTTAAAATTTGTTCATTTACTTGATGATGCTGGATATAGTGTTGAAAAAATGAATGGTACAAAAACATCAGTACATATTGGGCAATTTTCAACAGACCATTCACTTGCGACAACTCGTATGAAACCTGAACATCGATCAAGATTTCATGGACCTAATACTTTATTATATAATGCGTCAGCTCGTTTATCATATCATTTTAATTTACAAGGTCCGAATGTATCACTAGATGTTGCTTGTTCATCATCATTCGAAGCTTTACATATGGCTGTACAATGTCTTCGTACAAATGAAGCTGATATGGCTGTATGTGGTGGTGTTAATGGAGTATTTGCACCAGAAAATTTTTTTCAAAGTTCACTTATTGGTGCACAATCACCTGATGGAAGAAGTCGATCATTTAGTGCTGATGCTAATGGTTATGCTAAAGGTAAATTCCATTCAATTGATTAGTTTTCTTTTTTATCTCGAAATAAATTTCAATTAAATTTTTTTTATAGGCGATGGTCTTGGTCTTTTATTATTGAAACGATTAAGTGATGCTGAACGTGATGGAGATCGTATATATTGTGTTGTTCGTGATGTACTTAGTGGTCATGATGGAAATGAAGGAAAAACAAATTTTGTCGTACCATCAGCTGCTGGACAAGAACGTTTATTAGCAAATATTTATTCAAGAAATAATTATGATACAAGAAGAATATTATTTGTTGAAGCACATGGTACAGGTACACCAGTTGGTGATCCAATTGAAGCAAATG